ATGTCTAATTTCAGCTAGAGGGAAGTGTTTTTTTTTTTAAAGTACGATTTTTATTGTTTTTTCAATATGCATATAAGGTTACAAACATCTCCCACCGAAGTGGGGGCCTAGAGGGAAGTGTTTAAAAAAAACTAATCGACCGGCTTCCTGCTGTGGGTGGTTAATTGATACACAGTAATAAATTAGCCGTTCTGGCCTCGACTTACATGCTAACGCTAAGGAACATGGGAAAATGTCTGGAACAAAAAAGCCTAAAGAACAGGAAAATTTATCTGACAAAACATTTTTTCTGTAGTTTTGGATGAGCAGAGATTGGTTAGAACTCCTGTTGGATAATAATTGCAGACTGTATGTTGGAGAAGTTCACCCTCTCTTTGTCCTGGTGACTACACATTAAAGTAATGAGAAGTCCAAAATGTTGTTGTCACTGTTAAAAAAAAAATATTGGGGAAGTCTTGCAATGTGAACACCTGGAGACAGCCATCAAAGGGCGTATACACACTTGGCGGCCCTTACCGTGATTGTGCACATTTGACCCCCAAAATTCAGTTTGGTTGACTAGTGGGATCACCTCATACTGTGCTCAGACATGGTTCAGCGTACCGTGCCCTGGGCAGCTTGAAGTGGTGGGCTCAGGCACAGTTGAGTTGGACTTCTGCACTGTAGATATCTGTGTGATCTCTAACCATGCTGAGCATGGAACACTCACTGACCACCTCCTTCAGGAAAAGTTACATGAAAAAATGACTTTTGTTGAAGGGGTGTCCTGACGAGGCCACACACGCACTGGTTGAATACTGTAGATAGTTATAAGATAGAGAGATAGATAATACATAAAATAGATAGATAATACAGTGGTACGCGGTTCACAAACATTTCTGTTCGCAAGCAATTCGGTTAGCGAACAGGAAGTTCAGCAAAATTTTGCTTCCGTGTAATGTCTTCCCTATATTGTAAAGCGCTGCGCAAACTGTTGGTGCTATATAAATCCTGTATAATAATGAGAGAGAGATAGATAGATAGATAGATAGATAGATAGATAGATAGATAGATAGATAGATAGATAGATAGATTCATCCTTTGGATGAATGCTGATAGGGAGCGGGGTATATAAATAAGGTAAAACTTCCAATGATCATGTTGAATGATAGGCAAATAATCATTGGCCTCTTTATAAATGGGCCCCCTGGAATCTCTGCTGATCTGGATTTTGGACAAAAGACTTTCTTTCCATACATACATTGAACATATACAGGATCCTTGGCCTCCTCCAGGTGGGTGTCCGATAAAGGTCACTGCTTACAAGGAACGGTATTTGACCTTGAGGCATGACCTAGTTATTTGTGACAGACAAGTAGATTAACAGCTCCAGCAATGATGACTAAAACAAGTCGACTTTGTTTCACTGTGTACCTCTGTAACTGATGTTCTGTTCAAGACTTGCTGCAAGGAAATTTCTGATCATTAATTTTAGTAAATATGCCATGATGGAATTGTAGTGCTTTGTGACCCTCCAAGACAACATCATGAGTAGTCTACAATACTCAGCAGCGTTTCTGGAAAATGGTCTAAAAATGTTGCCGGTTATGTATATTGAAGGGTCAAAGGATCGACATACCATAACGCAAGGGCGCCCACAATTTTTCGTCTGGAGATCTACTTTTCAAATGACGAGCTCAATGAGATCTACCAACGAAAAAACATCTGCATTCAGGGGCGCGGCGGTGCATTGAAGTCAATGGCACCGCAGGCAGGCACCCAAGGCAGGCCCCTCGCCCACAGTGCGATCGCCTGCACCCGGAACCCAGGCACATTAGTGCCTGCATTCTGATCCAGTGTGATCGGCAAATATAGTGCTTGCAGCATTTTTCCGGATCGCACTGGACTGGATCGCAGGCACTAATGTGCCTGGGTACCTACTTCCTCTGACACCAATGATGGGACTTACCTACTTCCTCTGACACCAACGATGGGACTTACCTATTTCCTCTGACACCAACGATGGGACTTACCTACTTCCTCTGACACCAACAATGGGACTTACCTATTTCCTCTGACACCAACGATGGGACTTACCTATTTCCTCTGACACCAACGATGGGACTTACCTAATTCCTCTGCCACCAACAATGGGACTTACCTACTTCCACTGAAACTAATGACACTAAGTAGTGCAGACGACTTTTGGAAGGGTGTCTCCACCACCATACAACAAACGTATGCCGTGTGCACAAGTCTCAAGGACGCTGTGCAGCCAAGCTTCATACGTTGCTAGGATGCTGGTGGCCTTGGGGCTGCCTACATCCTAGCAAGCAGTGATGCTGTTCGGCCGAGCCCCAATGGTTGCTCGGATGCCAGAGGCCTCCGCTGTCCTAGCAACCAATCAGGCTCGGCCGCACAGCGTCATTGGTTGCTAGGATGCTGGTAGCATCCGGTGTCCTAGCAACCAATGATGCTTTGCAGCCTAGCCTGATTGCTTGCTAGGACGTCAACTGCGTTGAGGCTGCCGGCATCTTAGCAACAAATGATATTGTGCAGCTGTCACTGATTGCTAGGATGCCGTTGGCCTAGCAACCAGCAACGTGGACGTGGACAAACTCCTCACTCCAGACAGAAGCTGGTTGGTTGCTATAAGCAACGACTTGACACTTTGTATTATTTCCCCACTCTATGTTGTCTGGAAGTCAGAGAGACGTTTTATAGCGCACTCTTATTATTATTAGGCATTTTATTATTCCTTATAGTGATCTCAGCCATTTGTCGTTCAGTCATTCTTAGATTTAGAAGACATTTGCTGTTGAATATCCCTTTACAATATTCAGGAGAGGTTTATCAGGGACACAGAGCCCCGATAACATCGCCTGCTGTCGTACATAGCCACAGCAGGGAGAGGAGCCCCGGAGAGCGGCACACCGACTGCAGCATGGAGCCCTCCGCCGCCCGGGGCAGCCGCTGCGAGTGCTGAGGGCACTGGGGAGGAATGGCTGACCCTCTGCGGAGGACTCTATCCAAACTGCGGAGAAAGAGATCCAAGAAGGGGCCGCCGGGGGGACTCGAGTCTAACGGAGAAGGTAAAGAGGGGCCGGGAGGAGGGGAGGCTACAGACACCCGGCCAAAGGGGCAACGCGGAGACCCCTCACAACTGGGAGAGTGCAGGATAGAGGGCTGCAAGATGAACTGTCAGTGGTGCCACACAGGGACCAATAGGACCTTTACTAGGTTATGTACAGCTTGGAGTAGTGCAGAGAGCCCTGAGAAATGTCCCAGTGTTCCCGGACAGTGCAGGCAGGACTGACCATGGACCTCCGAGAGCTGCAAGAAATACTGTCAGGGGTGCACCGAAGCTGGACAGTGCTGGGTGCCGTGCAGGGACCCCGGAGAGCCGGGAAAAGATTGAAGAGAGTAAAGTTGCTCTGTGACTGTCCTGCTGGAGAGAGCAGTATAGAGTGCTGGGTGACTGTCCTGCTGGAGAGAGCAGTATAGAGTGCTGGGTGACTGTCCTGCTGGAGAGAGCAGTATAGAGCGCTGGGTGACTGTCCTGCTGGAGAGAGCAGTATAGAGTGCTGGGTGACTGTCCTGCTGGAGAGAGCAGTATAGAGTGCTGGGTGACTGTCCTGCTGGAGAGAGCAGTATAGAGTGCTGGGTGACTGTCCTGCTGGAGAGAGCAGTATAGAGTGCTGGGTGACTGTCCTGCTGGAGAGAGCAGTATAGAGTGCTGGGTGACTGTCCTGCTGGAGAGAGCAGTATAGAGTGCTGGGTGACTGTCCTGCTGGAGAGAGCAGTATAGAGTGCTGGGTGACTGTCCTGCCGGAGAGAGCTGTATAGAGTGCTGGGTGACTGTCCTGCCGGAGAGAGCTGTATAGAGTGCTGGGTGACTGTCTATACAGCTCTCTTCAGCAAGAGTGCTCGGTGACTGTCCTGCTGGAGAGAGCTGTATAGAGTGCTGGGTGACTGTCTATACAGCTCTCTTCAGCAGGACAGTCACCCAGCACTCTATACTGCTCTCTCCGGCAGGACAGTCACCGAGCACTCTATACAGCTCTCTTCAGCAGGACAGTCACCCAGCACTCTATACTGCTCTCTCCGGCAGGACAGTCACCGAGCACTCTATACAGCTCTCTTCAGCAGGACAGTCACCCAGCACTCTATACTGCTCTCTCCGGCAGGACAGTCACCGAGCACTCTATACAGCTCTCTTCAGCAGGACAGTCACCCAGCACTCTATACTGCTCTCTCCGGCAGGACAGTCACCGAGCACTCTATACAGCTCTCTCCGGCAGGACAGTCACCGAGCACTCTTGCTGAAGAGAGCTGTATAGAGTGCTCGGTGACTGTCCTGCCGGAGAGCGAATAGATGGCTTGGTGACTGTCTTGTTGGAGAGTGCATTGTAGAGTGCACAGTGACTGTTCTATTGGAGAGGGCAGAGTAGAGTACTTGGTGACTGTCTTGTTGGAGAGGGTAGAATAGAGTGCTCGGTGACTGTGGTATCAGAGAGGGCAGAATAGAGTGCTACCATATGTATCGGGTCCCCAGAGTGCAGTGCCCTGTGTGGGGGCAAACCGCACTCTCCTGCCAGCTGTATGAGGCTGCCAGGCAGTGCACTGTAGTATCTGCAGCATGGGTTCAGAATTGGTTTTGCATGAAATGTAATGGGTTCAGGTTGAAGTTCCAAAATAGCTTCAAAGGGGGATTTTTATTTAAGCCGCCCTGTTGACATTCTATTGGGGTCTGCAGGACCGCCATGTGGAATGAAGACGGTGACCCCGGAGGAGAGCAGACTGGCCGGCAATCACAATAAAGAATGGTCTTCTCAGAACCACAATAATAACAATTACTCTCATCCTTCCAACCGGGAAACGGCTCCGGGACCCACAGCTTCCAATCAGCCCGTTCTGGGGTGCCGATACTCCCAGTATAGCAACATCAGCAACACGGACCTGGTGCCCAATGGCATGGAAAGCGAGTGCAACACCAAGCCACACCCTCTGTCATGCGGTGTAAATGGTAAGGAGGCCACCATGGGACGTTACTCTTACGGAGGTGTTCATATGCAACCAGAGACTCAGATAAAGCCGCCAAATAGTGCTCCTTACACCATGAACCCGCATTTTGAGGCACAGTGGTCGCTTCAGAATGCACCTTCCCCATCCTACCCTCTAAATTTCATCTATCCCCCTAAATCTAGTCCGGTCAAGGAGCCTCATGCTGGTGTTCGATATTTTGAAACCTCACCGTGGTGCTCCAATACCTTTGAAGGAAACCGACCCAACTGCCACATACCTCCCCATGGACTTGTAAATGCCCCGTATTATGGGAACACCCGAAACCATTCAGAGGACAGTGAGGAAGATGATTATTACGATAATGAGCATCTCCTGATGACTAGCACAAGTGAGGCTCAGTGCAATAGCCTTTCCTCGGGGCCACCGACACCGTTGATACATAGCGCCGTAGCCGCCTCGGTGGCCGATTATGGCCACCAAGAGCGAAAAGTCAGCGTGGACATGTACCTAGAGACTAACCGGCTAAGGTCTCAGTTGCAAGAGGCCTATTATTTATTAATTCATGCCATGCATGACATGCCTCTTGAGGTTCCCTCTAGCAAGATAGGTTGTAGAAGAGAAACGTGCCCCTCGAGCTCCCAGTCCCAGGATAGCGTCTATTCCCAGTCCTCTGCAAGGGTGATAGAAAGCGATGTCTGGTCCTCTGATGAAGCCAGCCCCAAACAAGTGTCGCATAGCGATTTGGCGTCTTTGAATGCTTTAATAAGCTCCCAGCTTAACAGGATGCAGACGTTGAGCAAAAGCGTGGAAGCCGTCTACAGCCCGCCAGCCTTCCGAACTTTGCACAAGTGCCACAGTGATAGTCAGATCAAGTACAGCCCTGTCCATAGCAACTTGTCCTCCGATTGTGGTTTTGAGCACAGCCAGGGTTCTATTGGTCAGCACACTGATGCCGACAGCGAGGGCAGCCCCCGGGACATGTTATCCTCTGTGAACTGGAGAGGCTCCGAGAGCGGCGCTCACAATCCCTCGGCTTATGTACACCAAACACCGGGGGGCTCGCTCTCCGTTCCAGTCAACGATGGCAGGCACGGTGCAGACATGAGCGCGGAGGGTCACAGCGCTTCACAGAAGCCATCGGGCCTAACGGTGAAGAAAATGCAAAAATGGATGTACAAAGGACGCTTGTTGTCTTTGGAAATGAAGGAACGCATCATCGGATCTTCTCAGAAAGCCGGCGGGCCCAGCAAGCGGGAGTCCAGTCCAACGGGCAGCTGCAAATCCGAGCATCTCCAGGACAGTTTGGCGCCATCCCCGAAGATGCCTGGAGAGATGGAGAGACCCCCAATGACAGGTAGGCGAGTAGGGCACGGGCCCAGCTCCAGGCCTGCGGATGTCCGCCAAAAGCTTCTCTTTTCGGGTGGTGGACGAGGTCTTATATCTGCCATTATCTGTGTAGTAATAGGTGACGTGGTGGCGGGTCCCTATACTGTGGCCTCTGTATACTCTTACTATGTTCTAGGCTCATGTATAAACATCTGTGTGTTCTTAATGTTCCTTTATCTATCTTTTGTGTCTTTTTCTTCTCGCTGCTGCCAGTGCCTCTGTATTCTGTCTATTGCATGTTTTAAAAATAAATTACTTCTTTTAGTTTTGCTATAACATGACATTTTAGGTCGATGCCGCTTCTAAAAGTAGGGGTTATGAAGTAGTCTGAGAGTGCAGCATGCAGTTCAATCACTCCGGGACTTGGGCAGCAGTCGTTCGCAAAGAGAAAAGCGCAGTTTCCTTTTTTTGATTATGCATTTTTAGGAGTCAAAGAAAGTCCCAGCAAGCCACGGCTGTGGCTGGCTCCTCCGCTTTTTGACGTTGCAGATCTTCTGTGACTTCTTGTGCTTCGCTGCTGAGGACTTGAAGGTTGCCCTGCGTTACTTAATGTTCTGCTTATATTGCAGCTTTTTGTAGTTGCAGACCTTCTGGGACTTCTTGTGCTTCGCTGCTGAGGACTTGAAGGTTGCCCTGCGTTACTTAATGTTCTGCTTATATTGCAGCTTTTTGTAGTTGCTGACCTTCTGGGACTTCTAGTGCTTCACTGCTGAGGACTTGAAGGTTGCCCTGCGTTACTTAATGTTCTGCTTATATTGCAGCTTTTTGTAGTTGCAGACCTTCTGGGACTTCTTGTGCTTCGCTGCTGAGGACTTGAAGGTCGCCCTGCGTTATTTAATGTTCTGTTTACATTGCATATTTAGAGTATTAAGTCTTCTTTCCTACATTTGTATACGTTAAGAATGCAGCTGTCATGACGCAGATTAAACAAAGCAAATTCCTTTGCTCCCTCTGCTGGGTAATACCATATAAAGATAAAGTCGCTCCGAGGCGACAGCGTTCCAGATCCCGCTCTGCGTAGTGGAATCGGCGTGTATTTAGATCTATAGGATTCAATGTGCAGTATGTGTTTTGCTTCGAACTTGACTAATAACGGCAGGTGATCTTGAATATGCTTAACAAATGATTGCGTCGAGACGGTTTATTTTCCTGGCACAGAGATTACAAGGCAAATGATACTCTTGTGTAGGTAACAATTTGTTCTTGTTTAGGCAATTAGGTGAGAGTATATGTTGGTGTTGGTGTGTGCGGATTTGCTGGGCAAGTTGGCTTTCGGACATCATCGTGCACAATAAAGGAAAGTGCGTGTTGATCTGATGATTAGTTTGATGTGTTTTGTGGAAAGTGTTTAAAGTGGACCTGTCTGTTTTGTAACAGCTCAGTAATGTAACAGGATTAATGGGCATTTTTGGGCCAGTAAAATTCCGGGTAGCCAGAAGGGTTGCAAAAAAAATAAAAATACAAATACAGCTAATGCCTCTTTTTTTCTGGGAAGTTTTCGGTTGGTGTTGAAGGAAGCCCATCGGACTACTGGTAATAGAGGACTAACTAGAAACTGAATTTGGAGAAAGTTTTAAAGTAGTATTACATTTTCAAACTTCCAGATGAAAGAAATATACTAGGGATTCACCGATACCGGTATTTCGGTTACGAGTACAGATATTTTTTTTTCCCAGTACTCGCCGATACCGAATACCAATACAAATACTTAAGTCCCATTAAGGAAGCCAGGTGGCGTGTAATGACTCGCCACCCGGCTTCCCGATTTAGCAGGGAAGCTGTCCCAATGCTTCTTGTCACTATGTGACGAGGAAGCATGAAGCCGGCTTCCCGGCCAATCTGAAAGCCAGGCAGCGCGTAATGCCGCGCTGCCCTGCTTCCTGATACATGAAGTACTCGTGCTAGGCATCAAAGCATTTGGGTGAGTACGACTACTCGCCCAAATACTCTGCATCGGTGCATCCCTAAAATATACATTACCCAGCTAAGTATGTCTTTAAAGTTTTGTCCAAGCACTTTTTAGCTGCCATGTTTTCAAACAGTTGACTCCGACTCTCTCAGCTTGGCGTCCCTGAACTTCCAGTACAAGATCACAAGGGACAGAGCAGTCTCCAGCAGCTCTCCATCTCCTAGCCTGGAAAAGGAGACAGGGAAGTGTCATGCCTTGCTGTGCCTGTGAATTTGTGGAGGCACACACAAGGGTGGCTCCAAAGGACCCTGCAAGGGAAATGAGTCACCCTTAGGGCCGGTTCACACCATAAAGAGTGCGTTCCAGAGCAGTCAGCCTCTGGAAAGTGCCTGGATTCCGGTCCAGTGCAATCTAAAAAAATAGTGCTTGCCACGCGTTCTGGTGCCAGGTATCGCACTGCGGGCAGGGGGTGTGCCATTGACTTTATTGCACCATCAAGCCCCCTCCTGCCCCTGAACGCAGGAAGCCTGCCAGAATGCTATCCAGTGCGTTCCAGAGGCTGACCACTCTGGAACTTACTGTTTATGGTGTAAACCGGCCCTAAAACAGGATATCAGGACCTGTGCTGAGGGGACCAGCTGGTTCTGCACAAAACTAAAACGTTTATACATCAAGGAGCAGCATCCATTGTTAGTGATTTCATCAGGATCTGAAATAGCTTAAAAACCTTGTGACTTTAATATCACTTTAATTCTAAGTTAAAACATAAGAGCCACTGCGGGTTTGTGTCTCTGTTGGTGAGACTTCCCCTCACTTCCTGTTCTATTGAGCATTGTCATTGAGGCAGAACTGAGCAGAATCTCTCCCGAAGAGATGCAAAGATCGACGTAATCCCTAACTAAATGAAATGTATCATAAAAAAAACTTTTAAAACTGAAATGCATTTTTTTACCTTTTTTTTTAATTTTAATACTTTTGGCAGCTCCGTGCTGCTGATCCCCATGCAACCTCTTTGCAGCCACTTCCTGTCTATAGGTACTCCAGCGATGGCTGCATGGCAATTCTCAGGACAGGTTTCTTGGTAGTGAGCAGTGGACTATCCCGGGTAGGGTATGTTGAAGCTGCAACTTGTAGTCTCCATTGAAAACCTAAAGTGTGACGGGGTGATAACACAGGAGGGAGCGGAGACGAGACCAGTCACCCTGCACAAGGAGAGAGCAGCCGTGACTGGTCTTTATTAAAGGAGGGAGCGGAGAAGAGACCGGTCACCCTGTACAAGGAGAGAGCCGTAGTGAGCGGTCTTTATTACAGGAGGGGATGGAGACAGGACCAGTCATCCTGCACAAGGAGAGAGCACCAGTGACTGGTCTTTATTACAGGAGGGGATGGAGACAGGACCAGTCATCCTGCACAAGGAGAGAGCACCAGTGACTGGTCTTTATTACAGGAGGGGATGGAGACAGGACCAGTCATCCTGCACAAGGAGAGAGCACCAGTGACTGGTCTTTATTACAGGAGGGGATGGAGACAGGACCAGTCATCCTGCACAAGGAGAGAGCACCAGTGACTGGTCTTTATTACAGGAGGGGATGGAGACAAGACCAGTCATCCTGCACAGGGAGAGAGCAGCAGTGACCGGTCTTTATTACAGGAGGGGGCGGAGACGAGACAAGTCACCCTGCACAAGGAGAGAGCAGCAGTGACTGGTCTTTATTACAGGAGGGGGCGGAGACGAGACAAGTCACCCTGCACAAGGAGAGAGCAGCAGTGACTGGTCTTTATTACAGGAGGGGGCGGAGACGAGACAAGTCACCCTGCACAAGGAGAGAGCAGCAGTGACTGGTCTTTATTACAGGAGGGGGCGGAGACGAGACAAGTCACCCTGCACAAGGAGAGAGCAGCAGTGACTGGTCTTTATTACAGGAGGGGGCGGAGACGAGACAAGTCACCCTGCACAAGGAGAGAGCAGCAGTGACTGGTCTTTATTACAGGAGGGGGCGGAGACGAGACAAGTCACCCTGCACAAGGAGAGAGCAGCAGTGACTGGTCTTTATTACAGGAGGGGGCGGAGACGAGACAAGTCACCCTGCACAAGGAGAGAGCAGCAGTGACTGGTCTTTATTACAGGAAGCTCCTGCATAGAGGCAAAGTTTCACAATGAGTCACTTCACAGAGGTGGAAGAAATGCACAAAACTCTCCAAGATTGAAGGAAGAATACACATGACTCTTGTATTTAGACAATATGCGCTTATTCTGGAGTTCAGCTTTAATCCTTCTACCACTGGGGTCATGTTAATATATTTATACTCTCATGTAGCGTATAGAAAGGGTGGTTGTTGTTTCTGAAATGCTCTTTGGGGTTGGGATCAGTTGGGGTACAAATAGTGCCTAGAACATGTACATGAACTACGTCATCTGATCTGTGCTACATTAACAATTTGTACAATGGTTGGTCTGTGTTTGAGAATGGCTTGTGGCACAGTTTAAATATATTTCTATGGTAGACCATTGTTCTCCTCCGTCAGCCAGGAGTGGTACTGTGGCTTGCAGCGTTTCCCAGAACTTCCCGGGGTTCTGGGGCTGTTGGAGAAAACGGATCTTTAGTGGTCACATTTTTCCAAAGTATTCCTAGTGGGCAGCTACACTGTCACCGCTCATCTACAACCCACTGCATAGTAACTGCTTCTATGGCTTACCAAGATATGGGATCATCATGACCCAGCTGTGTACCATCGGTGACCCGTTAGCCTTCAGTCCTTTTGGCATTGATTCTTAAAGGGGCACTAAACTCTTAAATCTTAAAAATGCATTCAAGTATCGGTGTTCTATCAAGATGTCCAACTTGTCGAGATCTCCAACTCCTGTCAGTGCGCCTGGCGGCCACCTAAGAGCAGTATCACATTCTCTAATTTGCGTTAGTGCGCCTGCGCAGGCATCCGATGGCACACGCAGTGATGCCAGTTGGAGAACTCGATGAGGCCGCTCAGGCACACTTGGGGCAATTGGGCAAGTTGACAACGCTTGGAAAAATGCCATCTCGTCAAAATCTCCAACGGAT